CAGTGGCCTACGAACTCGACCTCCCTGAAAAGTGGAAGATTCACAACATATTCCACATCAGCTTACTGCGTCCTTTCAGAACCAACCAGTGGGCGCACCCTACTCAGGAGGGTCAGATTGAGGACATTGAGCCCGCAGAGGATGAGCCATACGATGTCGAGAAGTTACTGCGTTGGCGGTGGGCAGGACCCAGTTCCAGGAGGCGCAAGGAGTACTTAGTGCTCTGGAAAGATTATTCATTGGATGACGCAACCTGGACTCCAGAGGAAAATTTCACTTACCCAGAAGAACTCAAGAAAATGATCAAGAGGGACCGGCCCGTTGAGGACAACTAGGCCATTGGGTTTCACTTAGACGTTTCGAGGGCGAAACTACCCCCAGGGGGGAGTACTGTTGTGTAAACTACTAGGGGGTAGCCGGTTTACTCCAATTATTCACTGGAAATTGATAATTGATATAAGATTGTACCTAGATAGGACAGAGGAGGCTATTAGCTTTCCATAGGTCTTTGAATCATCCCAAACGGGTTAGCGGTAGTGGAGTTATGGCTTATAGAAATTCCAGTACTTGCGGTTGGGCCCCTACCGTACTCGGGGGTGAGATACTATCGATATGGGTACATTCGATACATGTTCTGTCGATTGTGTACCGCTGCGTGCGGGGGTCATGTGACCGACCCCGCACGTCAGCCTGTAATTCCATTGTGCCCACTCTCGCCTCCCAGCGGCTGCACCCGCAGGCCGCAAGGCGCCGCGCGCACCCACTGCGCGTACGGCCGCCCCGCGCCCGGCCATTCTGCAGGCCTGGGCCCACACTGTGTATCCGAAGACACGAGCGCCCCGCAAGGCCCGCCGGCCATCCTGCGGAGGGGGCCCCGCGGCCCCATCGGGCGCCTCGGCGGGCGCATCGCCCGCGAACACACCGAAAACCACGCCAGCCGGCGGCTCCGAGCCGGGCTCAGAGGGATCGATGCCCAAGGCATCTCCCCGTCGGGCGACTGCGATTGACCGAGGAGCGGAGCGGCCGATCCTTGGCAGAATGCGTCGAGAATCGAGTGCTGCGCCAACCAACAACATCATCATTGAGTGATTAGCAACGATCGCTCACCGGTGGGGTTCATCATAGCCAAAAAAAACATCTGCCAGGCCCACGTGGAGTTGCTGAATACCTCTTCTAGCTTGTAGAGCATATCGTTGTAGAATGGCACCAACCCACTGTATGGCCCCTTATTTTCCACACCGCCCATTTTAAAATGGAATTTATAAATTTATAAAGAAAACGCCGGAGGTCCATCAGCTTGGTCAGAGCCTTGGAGCCCGTGGGGTATGCCTCTGCCTCGAACCTCTTACAGCACCTCTTCAGAAATGCCAAGATTGGGAGGAGGGCCTCCAGGTAGCCCCATTGTATAATTTCGATGGAATTATTGTATTTGGGGTGTAGCCCAAACCATCTGTCGATGGCCTTCCTCAAGCACACAACCCTTTGCAACATAAAAAATATACTATTCTATCGAGTTTCTACAGACCTGACTAGTCGGAGTACCCTCCGCAGCTTGGGCCTCATGCCACCTTTACCCAACTCATCAGAGGGCACCTTTGATACTGACACCCCTTTCTCATCAATAGAAACTATGTTATTAGCCTCTTTTATTATTCCCACTTGCAACCTGCACAGCTCAGCTATGGCTTCCGCGCTAGCACACATGTGGTTCACCAGCATGGATACCCTGCCATTGTAAGGACACATACACACTGCTGATGAAACAATTCCCAAGCAGCAGCAGCTATAGCAGTTGCACCACACATGAATGACCACCAACATGCATGCACACATAGTAACATTATTCCCACTCGCAGCCTGCACAGCTCAGCTGTGGCTTTCGGGCTGGCACCCATGTGGTTGATCAGCAAGGACACCTTGCCATCGTAAGGACACATGCACACTACTGATGAAACAATTCCTAAGCAGCAACAGCTGTAGCTGTTGCAGCACAGATGAATAGCCACCAACATGCATGCAAAAGTATTTTATATATGTTTGGGTCAATGCTGGGCCGGTGGGTGGGGACAGGTGGTGAACAAAATACAATGTGGCAATTGTATTTATCATTTTGTGGTTATTATAGTGTTTGTGCAAGAACCCCAAATGTCAGGGTCGCGGAAGCCGTTTGATTTTGTTCCTATCATTTCCCAACCCGTTCTACCTCCGCATCTCCATAGCACACCTAGTGGCCACCCGGAACTGATCCCCAAGCAAACAAACGGTGATACGGGAGTTGGGTGCTCCTGGGGCACGCGAAACGGAATGAACGGGGATTCATTTGGGCTCCTGGGGCGTTATATTTAAATGCACATCATGTAATTTGTTCAATTTGTCCGTTTCAATGTTTGCTCGTCCCCGGCAACCCAGATTCAACCCTATTCACTGATTAAATGCATCTAGGCCATCTAAAAGAAGCACTGTATCAAACGGACCCACCTCGTATTGAATGGGTGCTTGCTAAGCCAAGCCCGCAGGGCACCCGCGGAGAGCACCGGTGGTGATCTGACGGCCTTTGGGCAAGGAGGCACATGCCGGATCCACCCTATCACGGCACTATCATCCGCGATAGTATCGATTCCATAGCCCCAATTTTACTTGTGACTTCAGCGGCCTTCATGTGGGCATTTTGTTGCAAATTATGCTTGTTGATGAGATTCGCGCCGCGAAGCACAAAAGAGTGGGGATGAATAATCGATTTGAGATTCAGCATGGGGGAAAGTGGTGGTCCTGCAACGTGTCTTTGCATCTACAAAAAGACTTGTCTTAAAATCTTTTCTTGCATGACAACTCTTCAAACCAACCTCTGCGGGGGCAAACTTTGCCCGGCAAAGGCCTAGTGGTTAGTGCACCATAAAGAAAAGAGTAATGGGGAAGTATTAAAATGGGTGCACCGGCCATCTTGATCAGCAGCTGTCAGCTCCATAGACCCATTGCAAGGTGGTTGGTTGAAAGTTGCTCCTGTTGCTATCTCCAGCAATAGCATTGCGCAAATGGTCCATGCTAAAAGCCAATAAGGAGTAAATGCCATCACGTGCTCAATGAAAAGACATATTGGTAGGAATTGGTGAGAACAACAAAATCTTGCAAGAACATCGAGAAGGCCCGAAGCCATGATGGAAGAGGTGTTAAGGTGTTGTTGACTCAATTGCTCGGCGGTCTTGTTTGACTAATGTAATTGGGAACAAGGGGTGACATTGTGTCGATGCGTAAGACTTATTGCTGTTGATGGCGGTGCTATGTCAACGGAGGTGTATTTAGCCAGTACCAAAAACGGCTGCTTCCAGTACCAAATTTCAGCCAGTACCAAAAGTGAATGCTCCCAGTACCAAATCCGCCCCAGTACCAAAAACGGCTGCTTTCAGCACCAAAAACGGCTGCCGCCAGTACCAAATCGCCCCAGTACCAAAAACGGCTGCTCCCAGTACCAAATATAGTTGCGCCCAGTACCAAATCATCTGTAACCTTGACTCGCCCAAGGCGACTCGCCTGCCTCACTAGTGCGACCTTGGGCGACGCAAAGCAACGAAGACAGGGGCTGTGCGCCCCTCCACCGTCGCGCGAGGCCATATGGAGCGTCCGGCAGCGGCGGCTGCATTCAGCGCCCACGCGGATGGGGATCGAGAGCATCGGCGAGGATTCCTAGTGCTCGCGTGGCGCCTGTTGCTCCACAGCCCCGTCCTCGAAATAGCTGTCGTCAGTTTGGTACTGGGCGCAGCTATATTTGGTACTGGGAGCAGCCGTTTTTGGTACTGGGGCGATTTGGTACTGGCGGCAGCCGTTTTTGGTGCTGGAAGCAGCCGTTTTTGGTACTGGGGCGGATTTGGTACTGGGAGCATTCACTTTTGGTACTGGCTGAAATTTGGTACTGGAAGCAGCCGTTTTTGGTATTGGGAAAATATATCTTCCTATGTCAACTTTTGCCACGTTTGGCACCAAAGCCTGACCCTCGGCTACCTGGCCAGTGCTCCTCAATTTGACGTTAAGCATGACAAGATTGACATAGGGTCACCCCAAACCGTGGATCGGCACCTGTGGCAATGCAGTACTTTGGTGACGGTACTTGCAGACCAAGGTGCTGAGGCTGCAGCGAGGTGACGAGACGAACGAGTGCAGTCGTCGTTAGCCAGCCGTGCGAGACATATCACACAAGGACAGGAGTCGCAAAAGCAGTACCGGCAGGGGCTTTGAAAACTCCAAAGCGAGGCTGGCGGGAAGGCGGGCCGTTGGCCTTGGCCACTGGCGTCGCAGGCGAGCAACGTGGCCTCACGTTGGACTTGTGCGGTGGAGGCATGTGTAAGCTTTCTATTTCAGCCACGACTTCAGGTGAATCCCTTCGTTTGTTGGGGGCCGTCCGAGTCAGCAAAGCTCCAATTCTGAAGAGCCGTAGGAAACAGCCCGATTTCATACTTCCAGCAACAGGATACCGATGCAAGGTCTATGGTTGAGGTTTGCACATGGTCCCACCGATGACCATCTTCTGGGCTGTCTGTATCTGAGGCAACCGCTCAACAGGCAATGTGTTACGATTGAGCATAGTGCAGGGCCAGCACTTGTGCTCTCTGGCAATTGTCTTGAGCAAGCTACCAGAACAACGATTGAACACCTCCAGCCAGGTATGGCAGATTGTGGCAGCTTTGGGCGCGAGTGTGTCGAATAAATGCAACAAGTATGCCCGCAACTTTGAGGTTTCGACTGCCATGTTGCCATTGTGTCAAATGAATGCATGTCACCTTTAGTGACTTCAGCACTTTCACCCACGACCAGGACAGAGCACGAGCCACAAAATAGCATACAGTATAGCTGGAAGGATTGAGAATGACTCTATCCTGACTATATCCCGCACTGGAGCACCACATGAGAAGCGCATCAACTCATCCCGCAAGCCAGTTGCAAAAGCCCTTCACTTCGCCAAAGGCCAGCTGCCCTTCTTGTTGCTTGCCCTTCGCACTGCAAGCCAACTAAGCAGTGCTCTGTGTCTCATGAAGTGGCCGCACCTGTAGGATTTGAGAACAGTTGTGCACAACGTGTCAAATTCATCATAACAGGCTGAAATAGCACCGCACTACCAGTGGTGTATTGATTGTCATCTACCACTTCAGCACGCTGCTGTTCAACCCGTCAATCAAAACGGCGGCAAGTCTGGCACACTGACGGCTACTTTACATACCTTTGCATGGTTCCTTGCCAATGGGCATGTTTCGGCAGTCTTCTTCCGCACTCTCCTCTCGAATGAGCTTGCCTGGAGCAACACATGAGCAATCTCCTGCTGCCTTCATGCACAAAGTATCAAAGCTGCGCGGAGGGCCACAACATCACAGGAGGATCTGTGTGATGCTCATCATACACATTGCAACCTCACCTTACTAGGGGCTGATCCCTTCATTGTAGCCTGCTCTTTGGCTTCCATGGAATTAGGACCACTGTTATTATGAATACTGTGGCGGCCCGCCCGGTGTACCAATGTGCCCCTGTAGCAATCATGGAAGCAGAAAGACCGTGAAAACCGTTTTTTTTGGTGCATTGCCGCAATGCACACAGTATTGCATGCAAGCACAGGACAATCACCTCCATGTCATGTTTGCCTTGCCCCCTGGCAAAACAGATTGTGACCCTCAGTGCAGCAGCCTTCACCATTTCTGCAGTGGTTCACCTGCAATTTGGCGCCCCACATCGGCAAGCAAACAGCTCCTTGTCTTTCTCACTTATGTCATAAGGGGTCTCCAGCATGTACGTGTAGGTCACCTCCTCCCCTGGGGCAATGTCAGTTAGGGCAAAGATGCCCAGGCGGCTGGTCTCTGATGCCGCATCTGTCCACTTCTCTACCACACAATTGGGAGAGCAGGACGAATTGATGAATCTTGCCACGTTTCCCTTCCTGTATGCATCGATGTATAGACCCTTCTCCAGTGCCATTGTGTATGCGCCGACCATGAGGCTGCCGCCCTTCGCTATGCGGCTCAGACGCTGCTCATCAGATATGACCTCGCCTGTGTACTCGATGATGAATTCTCCTGTCCTTATTGGCTCCTTGGTCTTTACACCCATTCCCCTATTTACAACAGAAATGGATTGTGGGGTTTTGCGTGCGGCACGCATAGTGCTGCAATCCATTCTAGGGTGACTCTCTCATTCACATGGAACAAATCACCACGGAAATTGTTTGTATTTAAGGTGCTGAGGGAGGAAGGGGGGAGAGGGAGGGATGTTACGATTCGTTGAACTCCACATGAGAAACAGGTCATACAAAGGGCAACCCCTCCAAAGCAAGTGTGCGTGAGATTCTTTTCCATTCTCTGGAAAGATTACAATTGGGGTGGGTAACACATTGCTTGTCTCCGTTTGTGAGGATTGTTGGCTTGGAGGGGGTCAAGCCGATGGGGCACTGCCAAAGAGATTCACACAAGGGTCATCGCCCATGCATACGCCATGTATATGTTGCGTAGGTTTGGGAGGATGTTGTGAAGGAACTGATGTGAACAAATGATGTGAACTGATGTGAGCAAATGTTCTTATTCAAACAGCAATGATGGAATTATATTTTGTTGTGATCTTGACGATGCAGCGGCGGTGTTCTCTTGCTTTGTGCAACTGGAACAAGTACCTCACACCATACTTTGCGAACCTGTGTTTCTTTGCACTTTGAGTTCTGACAGTTGTATGACGACCTCCTGGGCGAAAGGTGTTTTGTGCACCAGCCTGGTGTTGACAATGCATTGCTTGAGGAAGCAAAGCATGGATCGTTGCATCCGTCTTGTTGTAACAGTGTTTTCACTGGCATGCCTTCATGAATCTCAACAATGAACTGACTTTGGTGCGTTGTGGAACTGCTCCGCCTTGGACCCTTTTGCTGCTTTATTGACTACCCCGTGGATGAATCATGGCTGTTTTTGATGCTGGAATCTGCATCCCATGGACCTGTTGCCCCGTCGAAGGTGCTCTGTGGGCCTTTATGATCTGTGTGTGTTGCATGTGCGCTTCACTTGGGATTTGTCGTTACTTGCCTGTCTGGTGTCAAAAACGCCTCAATTTTCCTGTTTTCAATGTAGTCAAATGGCAGGTTTGTACACCGCGCCCCACAAGGGCAGTTCTCAGGGTCGCATTTAAATTTTGTTGCCCTGTTTGTGCAGCTCTCTGTACAGTCGCCCACTGAAGGGTTGCAGTTGCACGTCGCAATGTCGCCCTGCAGGGCACAAATGGCAGGGCAACCCGTCACATTCTCTGAATGAGCATAACTGGTGGCCGACCACTGCAGGCATGGAATCCCTTCTGATCAAAGGCGAATGCTAACATCACACAGCACTGGACGTACCTTGCGTTTTCGTCGCTGGCTGAGTTTCGGCGCACTCTTCCAGTCGCTCTTGTCTATGGGTTGGTACTCGGTTAGTCTCCTCCGGATTTCCTATGCATGTGTTTGATTGCATATGTCAAAATGCCACCAAGATATCGAGAAACGGCAAAAGCCGGGGGTTTTGGTGCAGCAGGACAAACGCAAGAGCCTGTTGATCGCGTGCAGCGACCGCACTTTACCTCTTCCTCTTTCGATGTGCAGACACCAATGGGTTTGGCAGCACCATCTGGGCTGGCAGGTGATGAGCTCCCAGCATCTGCGCCCTTTGATTCTGTAAACGTGGTTTCGTCAGGATAGGCACCCGCCTGGCCGGCCCCGGCTTGGACATCCGCCCCAGGACCCGAGGCCTGGCGCCGCTCCAGGACAACCCCCTGCTTGCCGGGTTCCGGGTTCCAAGGGACGGCATGCCAACGGGTCCACCATTTCTCCGGCACGATGCCCTGCTGAACGTATTCCAGGGCCTGTGGGTGCAGAAGGAAATGCGGAAGACGCAGAGGCTCAGCGACGAACCCGTTCGAAGGGGATGTGGCGGGAACGGGCGGAGACGGGGCACCGACAGGTGGACGTGGGGCGTGTTAACGGACCTGAACAACGGCGCAGTTCAGCGCCATCTGTCTGTTCGCCTTGAGGTGGACCTTCTTGCTGATCCCCTCCTCCCAGGAAAGGATGGCCTTCGTGCCGAGATAGGCGACGTTCTCCGGGCCGAAGAATTGCACGGGTACGGAACCGGTCTTCGGGGCGTCACGCATGAACGTTGCGGAGGCCTCGCTCGTCAAAATCTGACCCTGCACCCTCGGCGCGCGCGTCTCAGCACCCATCACAGAGCTCGTTGATCGTCTGCAGCGCTCGCATCCCTGCACACGGCTTGGCTTGGCGGCCTCGCGTTCGGAATCGTCTTCACGTGCGAAGGGCATTCGCTCGGATCGCATCCCGGTCCCCCTCCGCCAAGGGGGTTTGCGGCGCACGGCCTCCAGGACCTACCGGCCACTCCGGCGATCCCCGCATCTTTGCCCAGACGACCTTGCGGTTGATCGCCTTCTCCACAATCTCGGGGGTGGCCACGGCATCGACGACCGACTCCGCCATCGTTCCCTCTGCGCCCTGGCGACCAAGCCCGCGCGATCGGCGCCGCTCGTGGTGAAAGGAGGTCAGCCGGGGGGGCCGTCGCGGGCAGAAAGGGCCTTGTCCTCGGCGGTGCCTTGACGTGCGTTTTCCGTCGCGCTGGCCAAGCCAACTGCAGGGTTCAGGCCGAACAACGAGTTTCTGGCAATCACAGCACCTTGCCAGAAGTTGACTGGGTAGAAAATTTTTCGCTCAACCCCAGCCACCGCGGTTTTTGAAAAAAAAGCCACCACGATCGCGGTGTAGTCGTATTGCCGCGGCCCTGGCGAGATCGTCGCAGGTGGCGCCCCAAACATGCGGCCGCTCGCAGCCCGCTCTCCCTGCGCTCCCGGCCTCAGTCGCGGTCCTTCCTTCGGTGTCTTTGGCAGCGCGGACTGCTCGCCGAATGCAGCGAGGCGCTCTGTGATTAAGGCATCCGGCGCGGGTGGTGGGAGTGCTGGTGGCGGGGGTGGAAGGGGACTGGGCGGTGGAGGTGGGAATGCATCTGCTTGCGGGAGGCCGCCAGGCCCCATTTCTGTGGACAACTTGGCTCGGAGGTAGCCAAAGAGGTGTAGGTCCAATTGGGTGTCGGAGAGCCATCAAATCAAATTGGCTGGCTGTGTCCGTGGCAGTGTTCAAGCGGCACACCACGATGGGTTGCGTGAAAGACAGCAGGCGCTTTTGGACGTTCTGGAGCACAGAATGTGGGCGTTGGGCTCCTGAAGAGCAGAGCATGATCTCCGCAATGCAGTTGAGTGCTATTCTGTCTTGATAATGTTTTTGACTGCGAACCACTATTCATGGGCTGTGTATAGGTGGGGACGAGGGGAGCCAGGGGGGCCGCCCATGGATGTGGATATCCGGCGCCCTGGGTGCGCACCAGATTCTGGCCCCAGGAGCTTCATACGCCGACGAAGTTACTGAAACGGTGGACAAAATATGGGATTGGCTGGGGCCATTGGTGAAACAGCTTGGCTACAGCGGGATCCTTGGGCTGATAACTGCATCAGCTTTCAAGGTGAGGGGACCAAGTGAGGCACGTTGTGCAACTCTTGAGCAGAGTTTTGCGGTGTTCAACCACTGGTCGAGCTCGTCAAGTGCCTGCTTGATCGTGCAAATGCCTGTGCAGTGCCCCTTAATTGCCATACCCCCACGTTTTGAGCCAGGCAACGTTGTTCCTATTTATCCAATCCAATCGGGTCGAGAGGATCTACGTGCTGTGAATGGCGATTGCACTGGAGCACACTTGCTCCTTTGACAACCGATAGACAGAGCTGTTGGGCAGCAGAATGGGTTGCAGAATGGGATGCCTCTTATCCTGTCCATATCCCTTAATAATCAGATGCACATTTGATGATTGCAAATGGTCTCCAAGTGTTGACATGGTGACCCAGTGCCTGAACATTGCCAGAATCTTATTACCACAGATATGCGTGATGCCTAGCTTGGTGGTGCAGACTATGAATTTGCAATTGTACATAACATCTAGTTATCGACGTTGCAGGTCATGAGCCAGCAGCAGAGATATTGATGTTTGTGCTCTCGCAGTTTGTGGGCAGGGCTGGGGCGATTACCCTTGGACTTGTATTCATCGGTCTTCAGGTGCGCTGCAAATACCCGAACTTTCTGACAAAGGCTTGCATGGAGAGTTTCATTTGGCTGTCCTTGTGCCATCAGGATTCCCAATCCCATTGCCCTCTACGGCCATTCTTGCTTCTGGCGCAAGATTGTCAAACCCCGTTGCCTTCTTTTTGTGCCTTCAATCCTCCACAAGAGGGTCGCCTTTGTTGTGTCAGGCCATGTGTGGTCGGTCGTCTGAAATATAAAGAATCGATGGAAAACTCCACAAATGTAGCACCAATGGATTTGATGTTCCTTGGCTGTTACCATCAGGCCTTGCAGCATTATGGGTACATCGAAATCGACTGGGGAAGAATTCAAGCAAAAGTTGGAAAAAGGCTGGATGTTACTGGCGACAAGTAAGCAAGTGTTTTGGAAGGACTGAAAGCTTTTGTGCGTTGATGAATTGGTGACAAGCAGTTGGGCTCTCGTTCTGTCGTTCTTGCTCAACTAGCCAGGTCCTGCTGGAATTCAGTGTGGGACCTTGAGTCCTTGGTGTTTCTACTGCAGAAAATTTGATGAAATGGACATCAAGGCGATCTTGACCAGTGTGTTGGAGGCGATGGCAAAGGTGTGCTGCATACCCAAAGGTTCTCTGCCTACATAGAATAATTGGAAATCCCAACTGCCTTCCCTGTGCAATGTGGCAATCAACTCTTGAGTATGGAGCCCTGCACTGTCATTCAGTAGCTTAAGATCATGAGCACTGCGAGATGCAGCACCGGGTGCTTTGTGTGCAGCTTTCAATGTCCCTGTACTCTGACTCCGATGACGAAAGTGTACATTGCGTTTCTCCAAATGTGACAAACCACTGCCATTTCACCTGTCAGTTGATGTTGCATGCTGTTCGTATGCACACAACTGTCTGTTCCCTAAGGCTCTGATGTATTCAGCGAATGCATTTCGACTGAGTTTGAACCCAGCCTTGTGGAGCCCAGTCAATGGATGTCAGCACCACATGTCCTCTTCTGCACAGTGTAGTGACCTCAATCAGATGTTGCGTGCAAATGGGGTTGTTAGGACAGCTGCACTGCGCAAATTGGTATGTGCCACGATGAGATAGGTGCAGTTTATGTTCTGCCTGGGGCAAATGTGGCTCTTTGCCGTGAGCGCGACTGAGCCGCAGATCTGTGCTGTTTACAGGGGCTTCCCAATGCTGCTGGTTTCTGTGCAGGATTCCTCATAGGCCTCAAGGTCATGTGATTGCACAACGCTCAGCTGCACTTCTGCATGGAGGTTGTGTGGCCGCTGGTAACCCCCTGACTGCCTGATGGGGAGCTGGATTTCTGCTTTCCCCTCTTAACCTTGTGCCTTGCCACGGGCTCCGTTGTTGAGCCACAATCCACAATCGCTAGTTGACACCATTCATGACTCGACTTGTTTTTTCAAATTCTTTTGGATCACTTGAGCCAGGCAGTTGGCGGCTTGCTGGTCGTAAATGGCTGGGTGTATGTATTACTGGGCAACTCATGTTCGCTTCCAAGTGCGGGGAAAATAGAGGAAATTGTGCAAGCCTCGATTGAGAGGGCCCGTTGTAGGTGGCTCCCGGGACAGCCCGGTGTATTCGTTGTCTGTAAAGTATCCTCCTGTTGCCGAGGCAGCAGTTATGCCATCCTAGACAGCAAACTGTTTCTCCATTCTATCTTTAGCAAATCCCCGTAAAATCCCATTCCATGGCCATGAGTATGAAAGGATAGGATGAAGGCAGGTACTTTCATGCAGCGACTCGGCAGCCTGATTAATGGAAGGGCATCTGTTGCTGCCTGTGAACGCGACATGGCTGTACCTTTCCACCAATCATCTGTGCTCCTGTACAATAGGCCAATGTAGTGTGGGCATGTGGCCGTTCACCCCACGTTGACAATTGTGGATGGCTGCCCAAGACAGTGAGCTGGGAGCAACAAAGTCTGCAGCCGCACAGCCACATCACACCAGTTTCTGGGATCCACACAGGTAGGCAGCCCTTCGCAGCGCTCAAACTGCAGCCATGTATCCTCGCTCTAATTGTACACAATCGGTATTTCCACTAAGCTCAAAAAAAAGAAAAGGACCTGCCCAAACGACAAACGCAGGGTCAACCGACCTCTTGTACACTTTTCAGCTCCTGCATAACCGCCTCTATATGTGACTCCTTGAAACCAAACTCAGCTGCCAGCTGTTGTGCAGCGTCTTCCAGCGCGCCCTGTCCATCCTCCACAAGTCTCGCATTGGGCTGGTCTGCCCCGTTTCCTGCCCAATCCAATTCACAGATACTCGAGGCTTCCGCTTCAATCCTGAAACAACACCACTGGCACTTTGCGTTCTGCCATGCCGCCGATTTCACCTCGCCCTCAAGATCCGATACCTCCTGGGCAACTTTTCCCTCGTTCTCTTCGAGGTCTGTCAGTTGGCGAGACAAGGCAGTAGACAGACTCAGAGCCGTTTCTCTCTCTGACGCAAGTTTCTTTGCTTCGCCTGACAATCTGGCTGCCTCTTGAAAGTCCTGCAAAGTGCATACATTGGGTGTAGCAGCTTCACAAAGCGAAAAAAAAACAGACAGCCATTCCCTGTCAACACAACACAGCAGTAATTCCAGTGCACTTCAAAATCCTCCCCACCAAGTCCCTTGCACGCAAACACAAGCACTACCTAGCCGCTGTACGTGTAGACATGGGAGCAACATAACCCCTCACGTTTCCAGCCCAAGCAATATTCATTGTGCAACACTGAATCTTGACTCAAGTGGATATCATCTTCCTGCCTCGTTCCTCATCCATCACTGTGGAAAGGGCGAGTGTCATTATGTTTGCTACACATGTGAGACCGTCCACTGAGTGCATTTACGCGGGCTCCCTTCTCCATCACGGGTGCTGAATCGGAAATCAGAAGACAGAACACCAAATGTTAAGCGGATCTTCCGATCCCCAGACGTGCGAGGATTTGGCTACTGGTGCAATTCCACAACAGCTCTCTGCGATATGGATGGTGGCGTTGAGAACAGGAAATGTGCCTCCTTCATGGCAACAATCGGTATTCGTGCACTGTTGCTCTCAATGGAAACGGCCCCATTCAAGGCGCTTCTCATCGGCGATCAACAGTCAGCAATCACCACAACTCCAGCCTAAAGACACACTCCCTTCGTTGGTGTGTACCGCAGGTCGTGAGACTGATCAACGGCACTGTCTGAGCACCACTGGTCGCTGTTTGAACTTGTGAGCGGCCACTGACCGAGTAGAGTCATCAGCGAGCTGTCGGCAGTTTTGTCAGGGCGCAGGCAGCTGCAGGTTCTACACTGGGGCTATCACCAAAGCACACGCACTAGCAGAGCTCAAGCAACACGATCATTGAAGTAGCTGGATTCATTCAATCCATGACTGACCCAGGAACCTCAGCATGCCCACTGGACAAGTTGAAGCAACATCCTCTGTGCCAGCGCTACACCATATGGATGTTAAGGCACAGCCATCATGGTAATCAAGGCACTACGCCCTGCGTGTAGCAGAACTGCACAATGACAACCAAGGGGCCGAATTTGCTTGACTTTGCATGCATGGTATCCAAAAGAGCAGGCTGCAGCTACGTCTTGACAAGCCACAAATCTCCATGTGGTGCACAGCAACTCGTGCATCAGATCTCACCTTGTTGGCAGCAGCTGCCTTTTTGTCAGCTTCAATCTGGGGCAATCGAAGGTCTACTTGTGCAACCTGATCCTCTGCAGCGATCTTTTTCTGGGCTACCTTCGCTTTGTCAGATGCAAGTGCTCTCAGTTCACCACGTTTTGCTGTCAACCTTCCCCTCATATCTTTCAAACTGCTCCTGGCATCTTCTGCTTCGGAATGTACGCGTGACAAGAGCGCCCTCAGTGCTGTTTGCCTCTTGATGACAGACTCCAGGACGCACAGCTGAGTCTCGTGTGTGGCAGCTTCATCACCTGCGAATTTTGCCTGAACGCAACGAAACACACAAGGAATTGGATGACCATGAGGGCCAGATGACTGAAGCTACAAACCAGGGAGAGTCTTTGTTCTGTGCAATGGAATGAGCAAATGTGTGACGCAGGTTCAACACACATTCTGACGTGGTCATCCCATGCGAAATCCTTCACAATCTGACAGGAATCGACACCATGCATTCTGCACCACCTGCTTCTCATTGCAACCGCCTGTAAGCCAACATACAGGGCAGAAACAGGCACATCTACAAGCATTATCATTGTTGGGCAATGGAAAATGCCAACAGACATGTTCCACTGTCAAGCACTGTTGTGCAAACTGTCACAAGTGTAGTGTGGCAAACACACCCCAGTGCTCGCACAAAAAGCAACACAGCAAACAAACCTGTTGTACAGCCTCATCCCGCTCCTCTTGTGCCTTCTTCTCGATATCATGCCCGTGCATGAATTCATCTTCAATCTCAAGCCTGGACTTGGCAAGCTCTTTCTCTTCGTTGACGACGGCTGCTTCACTGTCAGCAAGGGCCTGCAGGCTGGCCTCTAGCTGGCCTTGCATGCTTTCCAGTCCTTCAGATACCTCTGACACTTGACAAGAAACCTCTTCCAGTTTGGCAACCTTTGCTTCCAGCTGCGATCTCAAGGTATTAATTTCTTCCTGGATCCCATTCATAACCACACATCAGAATGGGCCTCCTGAGGCAGAAAAGACTGCAGGCCACACATATTGCCATTTGGACCACTTGTGCAATCTTGCAATAGTGCACAACCTCAACATGTGAAGTTGCATCGACTGAGTTGAGCATGGATGTGCAAGTACAATGGCAACACATAAAAACCTCACCAACAAGAAGAGATATGCAAAAGATAGCCATTACCATGTCTCAGGAACTCAAAAAGCAATGAAGGAATGAACTGGGCTCTGCAGATCGCAAGATGATGCTGTCTTCTTGAACTCAGGAATGATGCAATCTCTTCTTATGAATAGAGCCACACCTCCAATGCCGCTTGCTCCTGTTCTAAAGCTGCCCTTTCTTCCTCTTTTGCTTTCTTTTCAGTGCTGTTTTCCTCTAGCAATGCGTCACGTTCCTTCTCCAAAGCAAGCCGCTTCTCTGGGATGATGCTTTCTGCTGCAGATATCTCTGCATCTCTTTCTGTGCGTCTTGCCTTCCCTCTTTCGAATTCCTGTGCAGATAGCACACCAAGAGCATAGAGCAAGGCCTTTGCTTTGCCAGGTGCGACAAAATGCATTCCTAAGGATGCCAAAACACTCACCAGCTGTGGGCCATGGCACCATGCCTTCCCAGACAGCAAGATTCCCGTGTTGAAAGTTCCATGTGCATTCCGCAAAGCACTGAGCTCAAGGCTGATGCCTTTTGCTACCAACTTATACACCACTGCTTTGTGCACAAAGTGGCAAGGCAGGGCCAATTCAGATGTGCACTAGTGTTGGGGTGCCAGCAGGGTGTTTCGCCCTGATGTACTGAGTGCACATGAGTTCAAACTCCCTTGTGAGTGACCAAGTATATTTGGAGAGAGAATCGCCCGAATCCCAGTCAGGAAAAGGGCGAACCCGTTGTGCTGGTGGGAGATATGCAAGGGGAAGAGAGCAGCAGCGACAATGTGGGTGATGAGAGGACTGTATCACCCTTATGGTACAACTGCTGAAGATTCACATACGACTCTACGGTTCCGGCATCCTTAGAACCAAAGGAAATAACAATAGCAATGTGCCCAGCACTGAGAAGTATGCAACAGCAAAATACTGTGGTTTGTTCTGGATACGGCCCTCTCTAACTTACAGATCGCTCAAGTTATGAGGTCTTCTGATGTTATAAAGTGCAGGAAGCGCATTCTTACACAGTGCCAAGGCCATTGCACACTATACTGTCCATATACTTCTGCAATCAGACCGACAAACCTTTTTCCAACATACCTCCTTTTTCCTTGCAAACACACAGGCAGCTTCCTCCTCGTTGGCTGCCTGGAGTGCCCTGAAGCTATCAATGCAGCCCTTTCGATGGGAAACCTACAATGACCCTCAGTCAGTCATGCAGTTGAGTGCTATGCAAACCAACAAATAACAAATCAAGTAAGCAGGTGATGCTCTGCGAACACAGATACACACAAGAGCAAGAGAGTGCTTCTGGCCATGGTGGGTCCAGCCATATCCTGAACAGCCACAGCCATTCATTCTTCACACATGGGGCTACCAGATTCTGAATCCCAGTAACTCAAGCTCCACAACTTGAGTGCTTGAGACAGTGACATGGACCTGCCACTGAAATCGACAGGAAATGGGTCATTGCCACAGCTGCTGATGCAAAAATGTCCAAGCCTAGCACAAACTGCATACAGAGGAAGCAAACAAAGCCACCATTCCAGTGCTTACATGGGCACTGAGAGGTACCAGTCATTGTGAGAAAAAGCCCACAAACTGCACACACTGGCCTTGGAATTCAAGTGGTACAGTCCACATTCATAGCGTAGGCCTGCACTCGCCCACCTGATCTTCCATAAGCTTGACTCTCTTCTCAATGCAGGACTCCAAATCTTTGCCCACTTGCTGCAAATCCCCCAGGCATTGTCCAAGCAGACTGGAGTTGTCATCAATCTTTGTTGCCAGCTTTGCCGCAGCATCAAAGTCTTCATTGTCAACAGCCAAGGCTTGCTGTTGCTCAAGGGTTTTGATAAGTTCTGTACGTAGTCGCACAGAATTTCTGCTGTCAATCAAGCAGGGTGCACTGAGTTGTCCGGTGGACAACATTGTGGAATAAAAAACCATTCAGCAACTACACCACTCCATAAGCATGGCTGCGCACCAATGGGTCCATCTGAGTTGCAGGCATGCGATGCTTCCAAGTTGCAAACATAGCGGAATAGGGCAATTCAATTGATCCAACTTGTGCCCAATATTCTGGGACACCCAAAGCTACATGAAGAGGTGTTGTGATCGCGCACTGATCTTTGTCGCAGCATCCAGTGAGTCCAAGACAAATACTGACTAGATGACTCCTCCTGCACAATTAGCAGTATGCCCACAAAGCAACGCTTAGCATACAGTGTTGACTAGGTGCCACACCTTTTGTTGCTGTCAGGTCAATTAGCAGTTTCGTCCTCTTTTCAAGGTGCACACGCTCTTCGCATGCGACACTGTCACTCTTTTCTGCTGCCTTCTGCAGGAATCTCTCTGTTGTGCTCTGGAGGCCCCTCAATGAAGCCAAAAATGTTGGCACCTGCTCAGATCGTTCCTGTATGTTTTCAGGTGTCTGGTGTTCATAACAGGCCTCCCCAGCTTCAGCTTTTGCCCCAACTTCTGCCCCATCCGTCACACAATTAGGCGCCTCTGCTGTCAAGGGTGAACTCAAGGACAAACCTGCAAAATCTAACCCAGGATCGTCCACAAAATCTGCAGATGTGCTCTTCTCTGCTGAGGTTCCAGCAACAATACCTTCTGATGGCTGCTCCATTGTCATTCCTGAGAAATCAAGAGAGTAATGTGCACCCAAAACATTCACATCGGAAGATTGAGCATTCCCTGAATCCGTCAGTTTCTGTTGCACTTCAAATTTGTCACTTTCTGTTTTTGATACTGCCGACTGATCCCCTCTAACGTTGCTGGTAGGTGAACTGCCAGGAACACGTGGTACATCGTTCGATACAGCCCCAGGCTTCAGCCCACTTTCATTTCCAGAAGACGACACGTCCCCAACACCAGCAAGGTCCATAACAGTCAAGTCCATGCCACCTCTGGCTGCAGCCAGCACACTGCCTGTTTCTTCTCTGACACTGGGGATCGGTGGCGTTTGGTATCCTGTACTTGCATCTGCTGGACTCCTGCTGGGACGAGCAGCAGGTTCGCCTCGACCATAGCCCACCACAGTGCGTGATGCCTTTTTCTTCTTTTTCCCTGTGCCAGTGGTCGAGGAGCTCGCTGGTGAGGCTGGTTGTGGTTGATAGTCTCTCCTGCCAGCCTTCGGGGGTTCCTTGACCTTGGTGGCATCAGGTGCAGGTGTGGGTGCTTGTGGAAGCGACTTAGGCACCGATGTTTCAGCATGGCCAGTAGCTGAGGCAAGTACTCCAGTTCCAGCATCTGGATACAGCAGAGATACAAAAGGATTGCGATTGTCTGTAGTCTCACAGCGAGGTGGGTCAACACAAAGTGCTGCAATGCCATCAAAGACCTCGTTTCCGCAGATAGGAGCATCCCATGCAATGAGCACACCCCTTCCCAGCGAAAAACATCTGTTAGACACAATTCTACACTGCCAAGAGTGCTGCGCCTCTGGGTGCAGTAGGAATAGCACGCGCAACACAGTCAGCAGCCAGAAACACTTCAAGGATGACAAAGTCGTCTTTCTACTGTTCATCAGAGTGTATAATACGGTGGTCCACAATCACGGTGTCACATCGCAATCCAGCACTTTCTTGGCTCAACATATTGGTCTCCACACGCACCCGTCCATTCAGGGACAAGATCAATACCATAATTGTGCAAAACTCTCAAAGAACACTCCAAATGCCTTCAGATGGTGTTGTATTTAAAAGGGCAAATACATGGCACCACGATTGAAGAGGGATACACAAGAACTTGATGTTGCACCAATATCACCACCCATCTCCTCAGGTGGGACATGCCAAGAGACTCACCTAGGAAGCAGCTGTAACGCAACTGTGCCAATCTGCATGGTGAAACGTCCTCACTCTCCAAAACAAGAATTCACAACACTGTCTGTTGGCGAATCGCTGATCAAGGACACCCCACATCACACAGACTGCCTACAGAGTTCCCAGTACCTTGGGGATGGGATCCCTCCTGTGACACAGCAGTTTCCAACGGCTCCAAATTTGAAAAGAGATCTTCATCGAGTGCAGGTCGAATGTCTGGACCTGTGTTGGCAGGAGCAGCTGCTTGCGACTCTGGTTGACTTGAGGCGGGGCCGCCAGCAGAGACCATCAGACCACTGAGTGTAAAACCAGCACATGGATGTTACCACAAGTACACTTCAACAATCCGAATGCCTGTTTCAACAGTAGTGCCTGATTTCACTGCAAAGTTGAAACTGCAGTGATTCGCTACAGATATTCTCAGTGAGCAATTTTTATTAAAGAACAGAAAATGTCCAGCATTGGTTCAACACATGGCAGAAGCCTCCAAAACCAACCAACAATGGACCATCCATACTTTAACCCACCTGAAGAGGTCACCTCCCATATCCAAACCCTCCACTGGCTCTGGCGCATCAGGTGCTGCCCTGGGCACCGAATGTGGGGTGGCTGTTGTCTTCATTTCTGGTTGAGTTGAGCCCATGCTGGACATGATCGCTTCTGTAAGAGTATGCAGCTCTGTCTGGAGCTCACGAAGCTGCCTGAGCACAGTGCATTAGTGAGTTGCCAGTCGTGAGAATAAGCTTGAGCATCTGGCTTGATAGTGTAATGTTAGATTTGCATTTATGCATTGAATGAATAAGCGCAGCGCAGAGGGGAAGAAATGAGCACTTTGTGCAAATCCAGGTCATCGCATGCCACTGCTCAACTGCGCGGTTTTGGCTGGTGAAGCCAGACGAAATTCAACGAAATCCAATGGACTGGTGAAGACATGCAGGTGGAGAGGATTCTATCTGGCAGCCCTTTGCACAGCTTTGAAATTCAGACATATTGATGGGAATGATAGTTGTTGACTCTCCAATTTGCAGTGCTGCTCCCGTCAAGGGCAGATCAACACTTCTTACAATGGACTACCCGCCCTATGCAACATCGACCAGGATGCACCAGCGCCCAGATGCATAACTAATGCATGGCCGATAGTCAACTCTCATTAAATCACAACACAAAGGTAGGAATAGAAGAAAGCATGGCATTTGGATAACAAATGTAGAACAGCACATCCTTTCACGCTGTATTAGCAGAAGGCTGGGTTGCAACTTTCATTACTCACTGAGTCCACACGGGCTTCAATGGATCGCTCTCAGGAAGGGCGTGCACATGAGCATCCAATTGATTAACTGCACACGCAACAAGAAACGTCCAAGTCAACCAATTAAACCGAGATACCCAGGCATCGACCCCTGCGAACGCTGTATTGCGGTCCACAAAGCAACACGCACACCCTTTCACACCTTCGGCCCCGGGTTCCGCAAATGCGGCAACGGCGAGCGTCCACATGACGCTTTCGTGGATTCCCCTGATCCACGAATGACCGCCGCGGAATGCACCACAACCCGTGGGCGCTTTCCCGCACCTCGGCGGGTGGCCTCATTAATGGAAGGGAAGGCGTCGGGGCTGCGAATGTTGTTCTTGAGCTTCGCCAGGCGATCCTGCGCGTCGGACAGGCACGCCGCTGGGTCGGTCTCCCATTTGCCGCTGCCTTGCGCGGGCCCCTGCACGGGCCCCTGTGCGGCCCCCTGCGCACCCTCCGGGGCCCCTTTCCGCGAGAAGAACTTGCGCAGCATGGCTGCAGGCCTCCCCAGTCGCAACGACTCGGCAGCAGGCGCAGCTCCCAATGAATTGGTGTGTAGAGGTTGAGGTTGAACCCAAATAGGGGTTGAAGCTGGTCCAAATTGAGTTTTGGCCCAACAAACAAGAACCCATACCCAAAACCACGCCCACCCACCCAATGAATTGGGGTACAGAGGCGGCCTCGCAAAAGCGACCACTTCCAAATCGCCCAGATGTGTAGCGACCTGGCCATCATGGCTTTGATAGCGAAGCTTCCTGAATAATGCTCAGCAGGAAACAAGGCCAGACATTCGCGCATTACGCACCCAGTGCTCCTGTGCTCATAGCCTGTTGCTTCAATTGTTTGGGGCAACGTGCATGAAGGAATGGCGGCAACCGGACGGACGCGGCTGGCATCATTTGCCATGTTCGGCTTTACCGCTGCGTTCATTGAATATGGACTGTGTTGACATATTCACAGCAATAATATTTGGAATCGGGTCCATTCACCAGGCCGATTGCCGCTGCTTGTGTCGTTGGCCACGCCATTGAAGAATTCAATGGGATTCGTGAGCAATGCTGCAAGGTGCTTGAGACCATTTCATTGAGACCAGTTTGGGATGATGGACGCGAGCTGTGCGGCATACTTGGAACAAAAGGCCCCAAATCTCTGAGGGATATGTTAAGGTTATTGCGTGGCTCACGATAAGCCTGGACTGAAACAAACAAAACGTTGGAACGTTCACATCGCCGCAACGCCGGACGCTCAGAGGTGCTTTGGGATGCCATTTTGTGGACGTGGGTGTTATGGTGGCTGCGGGCACGTGGGCTGCCTCGCCACCTCTCAACTGTGTTGCGGAATTCAGAGCCATGCGGAATAGCTCCAGGAAATCGGTGTTGAGATCGTGGCACGTGTGTGTAAGGCAGTCTTCAGGTCTCTAATTAGAGACCTTATAAGGTCCAAAGGCCCTGCCTTGAAGGAAATTGCAAGATCTGTTCGCCCATATTGGGGTTTTTAGGTTTTTGATGGGATTTTGCTTCAAACGTGAATGTATCAGGCAGATGCAAAGTGGGCAAATTCATAGACTCAGGGTTGCCAGAAACCGCTGATCGCATGCCAACGACTCCATAAACCCACGAATATTTCATTAATGTCCATTAATGGTGTCACCCTCCTCGTACAATGTTAGGCCAAGTAAACGGTAAACTCAACAAAGTGCTGACTCACAGATTTAGTTCGGCTGCACCGGCATGCCGTTCCAAGGAACATTTCTAGGCGTCAGGCATCAAGACATAGGTTTGAGAGACAGCTCCGCCGAGGAGGGAGACAAAACAAAGGAATTGTCGTCAGTAAAACGTCACCTATTCTGTATATGAAGTATGACAATGTTTTCTTGGGTGGTGTTGGGCAGGCTTGGTACTTGCAGCGTCAGCACTTTCCAGTCCATGGCTATTTTCGGTGGAAAACTGGTTTTCACGTTTTGCACGTAAATACCCGTAAAAATGGCGCAAAAATGTGTCTTGTGTACTTAAGACAGCACATACAGGCTCAGGAAGTCCGGGGAATGGCAGCTGAACGCGCTGAAATATGCATAAAACGATCTTTTGATAAAAAAATGGCGTGTCGGCGAGCCGTAAATATGCGTAAAAATGGCCGTTTCTCTATTTGTGCGTCCTTGCGCATAAAACGTAAACACAAAAGTGGAGTCGTGGTCGCAAACACCAAGCCTGGGGTTGGGGGTGGTGGAGCGAATCGAATATGATGTGGGCGCATGCGGTCGAACGGGAACTAGATATGGGGGATGCAAGAATATAGACACAATTTATGATGAATAGTAGATTACGCGCTTAGCGCTCAAGGGACTCTAAGAGATTGTATCATTGCATTAACATTAAAATATGCCAGAAAAGCCAGAGCAGCCTTCACGGTGTGAGACAAAACACTGTGAGTATCCCTTTCGATTGTGCCTTCGTTGAACATGGATGTTTTGGAGTGTTGACATCGCTGGGCGCAAGTCCAGGGACAGGATAGCTAGCTATGCGTACCCACTGACAGTCCAGCGGGGCACAGACTTTCGCGATCGGCGACAAATGCCAATGGCGATCAGCAACGGCCTCTTGCAATGGCCAGCCTACCGGATAATTAATTGACTGTCGGCAGGTGGGAGGACGGGAATGTGTACTAGGGAAAAAAGTCGGCAGGTAGGGGAGTGAGCTCACACGGATTGCTGCTGCGTTAAGTTCATGCGCGCTGCAGGCATTTTCGATCATGCGTAGCTGGCAGCGGCAGTGGCCATGCCTGCTTGTCCAATCCAAGCTGTGCTGGATTGAGTTGAGAGTGTCGCGGAAAGGGCAGGGAAAGAATCTTGCTATATTTTGGCCAAGCTGGGCGTTGGGCGGCGACATGCCGCTGTGAAAGGGCGATAACCGGGGGCAATCTTCGCGTGAGGTGTGCTGGGTTGAGTTGCACTGCAAGTTGCAGTCTGCAACAACCCAACCCACCCGACACCAGAGCGTTCACAATCCTGTAGGTCGGCACCAACGACCTTCTGACGCCATTATATTTTATTGGATTTTATGTCCTGTGAATGGCGAACGCGGGCAATAACCTTTTTTTCTTTCGATTGTCAGCGACGATTGGCGGCTCTCCATGCCAAATTTTCTGATTGTCCTGCTGTAACGCCACCCAAGCAGTCATAGTATGTCAGGTGTTATCATGGTCCTCTTTGATTGCATTTGTCACTTTGTTAAAGCAGCCTCCAAATGCAGCTGCCCTTTAGGGCTGATGAGCTGCTGATGCTGCCTCACTAATGTGAGTATCCGATCTTTTTATAAAATCCCGATACTTGAGGCACTATGGATGCCTCTTACTCATTATTTATGCCATTGATCTTTGTAAACACAACCAAAAAATCGTCAGAGTATTCCATGACTTCCGGCCCACTGCCTCAATCAGGCGCTGCCAATGCGAGGCACCTCATTTAGTGATCGTAAGCAAACGGGCTGATCAGTAAAGCCATAATGGCTCCACCGATGCATCTCAGTCCTTGCCAGTCTAAATTACACGTCGGTTGAAGTTTACCACAGCTAACCGACATGGAATCAGGCAACAGCTCATCCCGCCGACAGCACAGGTCGTGGATTCATGGAATTAACTATCCTGTTAATGGGTTTCTGCTAAGGACGACGATTGGGTGGGCGCGCAACGGCCAGGGCGGGCCGTTCCGCCCTTTGGGACAGTTTGGCCATCCATCAGCCGGGTTTCTGTCACCCCTGTACTCGGGGTCAGTGCTACCCGACGCACCCAAGGGCGGTGGGGTTGATCCTTGTACCTTGGGCGCAGCCAAGGGGACCGGTCAAGCTGGCCCTTGGGTTTGGCGGGGAGTTTGGCGGCAAGTGGGAGCGGCTATTTTAGGCGCGACCCTTGGCGCCCCCCTTTATCTTGTTTCGCTTCGCGCCAACCTTTGGCACAACCCGGAACCACAGAGTGGTTCGACCTTCCGGCCTTCGCGCCGAGTCCTTTCTGTATGAACCCCAGCCCGGCCGAACAGTGGCTGCGGGCTCAGGCGCTTCGTTTCAACCAGCGCCTCCCTGACCGTCCTATTGAGGTCACGTGGGTTTCCGACCCCGCTTACTCCCCCGCTCAGTCAACAACCGGGTCGCCAGGCCGGACTTCACGTCTTTTCCGGCGTGGTTCGACGTACGGGAGACCGGCCAGGGCCAGACCGTCGCCGCGGCCTTGGGACCCAACTCCGGCTACTTCCAGGAGTACGCGAGCTGGGCGCCGTGGGTCGCGTGGCAGTTCGACTACACGGCGGCCTTCGTGGACCTGGTCGCCCATCCGAGTCTACCGCCTTCGATCCGCGATCTTCTCCTGCCGTACGTCTACGCCTCGGTGGCCATTACCGAACGGCAGGTCGACCAACTGCGCCTCCATCAAGTGCACGCGAAGCACCGCGGCACCGGGCTCGAGGGATCCTGGCGCGCGCTGCAGGCCCAGATCCGCCTCAGCGAACCCGAAGGCGGCTTCACCACCGAGACCATCGACGGGACGCTGGGCGCCATCCGCAAGGAGCTCCTCACCCAGGAGGTCAAGCTTGCGACCAAGGCGGCCGCGGCCAGTCGGGCATCCAAAGCGGGGAGCGGCGATCCTCCGGCCCATTCGAACGGCCCGTCGGGGAAGCGGGGCAAACGCCGCAATCCTCCTTCAACGGCGCGTCCACCTCCGGACGCGTGACCGACTTCCCCTATAATCGCACCCGCGGACGCCTCTCGGCATGGCGGAGGATTGGAGCGCCCTCGCACGTGCTCAGATGGATCCATTCGGGCGTCACGCTGCCGTGGGGACCGCAGGGTCCTCCCCCGCCCTTCGACCAAGGGGAATACCCGATCCGTTCGGCGGAGGAGCGGGCGGGCTGGACGGCCCTCCGCGAGGAGTATTTGGAGATGGGAGCAATTGTCAAGGTAGCCCCCGGTCCCGATTCGCGCATTTCGCGCGCTTTCCTGGTCGAAAAGGGACGGGAGAACGGGGTTATGAAGTATCGTTTATGTGTCGATCTTCGCCGAGTTAATCGGCATCTCCGCAAGATGGGCTTGCGGTATGAAAAACTCCGCGATTTTGGTCATTTGTTGCGGAGGAAGGATTTTTTGGTGGGGTTTGACATCAAGGATGCTTACCACCACTTAAGAATGCGTTTGGAGGATGAATGCTTTTTACAATTTCGAATGGGCGGGGAGGTCTTTGCTTGCCGCGCCCTCCCCTTTGGGCTCTCTTTGGCGCCCTACTTTTTCACTCATTTTATGTTGGTGGTGACTCGTTTTCTTCGCTCCCCGGGTTCATGTGCCAAAGCGGCTCGCAAGTTCCGTTTTGGCCAGCTCGCGGGGAATGATTCGATCTACCGCTATTTTGTGCGGTATACGATCGATGACCCCGCCATTCTTTTGGCCTATTTGGACGACTTTTTGGCAGCCATGAGCGATCCCCACAAATTACGGGAATGGTCCCATTTAGTTA